CTTTAATTTTGTTATAAGAAATTTTGATACTAATAAGTCAGGCAGTTCACATATTTCTCAAATTTTTGTATACTTTCTGTGAACTGTGGAATCACCTTTAGCTTTATTCCATGTATGTATTCATGAAAATTTATTGAAAAGTCCACAGGCCCAATCCATAGACTTGCAGTGATATCCCAGGAGGCAATTTCCTTTAACTGGTGCTCTTTTGCTGATTTCTCAGGATATCAGGGCAGTTAACTAGATTATGGTTTGATATGCAGTGACTCTTACTCTCTTCAGGGCTTCCACATTCAAGATGTATATCAAATCTCATTTTAAGTTCAGGCTGATAGAATGGCCTCTCCTAGAACATTGCTGATCATTGTGACTAAAGAGGGCAAGGAACCAAAAGTGTGCTGTTCTCAGAAGTGAAACACGTCCCTTTCACTGTATTTGCTTGACCAGAGTCATTTTTCTGCCCTTCTCTGACTTTTTCCAGAGTGAGAGTGGGAGTATGTGATCCTCTCACAGGAAACAACACTGAAAATGAGTGGGTAGTGGTCCCCACACATGGGTATTTCTCTCCTCTAACATGTATCTTAACCACATTTCATACTCAATAACACAGCCCTAAAGTGCCATCTATTTATCACTATGCACTCAAATTTAGAATCTGAGTGATGCCAGGAAATTATGTTATGTCCAGATGTGCCTTTTCTTGATCCATAGACCTGCGAGTTAAGCAGAAAGTTATCTGTTTCTCTGGCCCAATGTGCAGGCATAGAGCACAAACAGCATAGTCACTGTAAGCATTCAATTTTTAGAATTTTTATTGAAAAGAAAAAGAGGGGCCAGCACTGTGGCATAGCAGGTAAAGCCGATGCCTGCAGTGCCAGCATCCCTTGAGGGCACTGGTTCAAGTCCTGGCTGCTCCACTTCCAATCCAGCTCTCTGCTATGGCCTGGGAAAGCAATAGAAGATGGCACAAATCCTTGGTCTCCTGCACCCACGTGGGAAGACCCAGAGGAACTCCTGGCTCCTGGCTTCAGATTGGTGTAGCTCCAGCCATTGCAGCCAATTGGGGAGTGAACCAGTGGATTGAAGACCTCTCTCTCTCTCTCTATCTCTCTGCTTCTCCTCTCTCTCTGTAACTCTGGCTTTCAAATAAATAAATAAATATTTAAAAATGTATTTATTGATTTTTCTTAGAGAAATAAGAAGACAAAGAAAGTTCCCATCAACTGCTTCACTCCCCAAATGCCTAAAGTGACTGGGGCTGGGGCTAGGCACGTAAAAACCTGGAGTCACAAAGTTGATCCAGGTCTCCATGTGACTGACCGTCACTTGAATCATACACTTCCAGCACTAGAAGGAAGCTAGAGTCAGGGACCAGATATGAGAATCAAACTTAGGCACTGTAATGTAGGACATGGGCATCCTAGTTGCTTTGCTAGTTTCCCATTCTGATATGATGATTTTATATTACTTTTATATTCTAATTTATTGAATCATCCTGATAGTAGTTTTCAGGAGATCATCTGGGTCTTGCAGGTGTATATTGTATGCAAATCATAATAATTTTCAATTATTTTTCTCTTATTGACTAATATCTCATATAAAATGTTAAAGGATTGTGATGATGGAACAGTCTTATCTTCCAGTACTTCCCTGTTAACTCTGATGCTGCCTTTGAGCTGAAATGTATATAGCTTATAAAGCTAAAAAGAATTTACCAGGGGAAGGCACTGTGGAGAAGTAGGTTGAGCTACTACTTGGGATTCACATACCTATCATCATAGTGCCTGGCCTGAGTCCCAGCCTCTGTGCTTCTGATCCATATCTCTACTAATGCATCCTGGGAGACATCAGATGATGGCATAAGTGCTCTGGGCTTTGGTCTTGCCCAGGTCTGGCTGTTGCAGCCATTTGAACCAGTGGTTGGAAGATTTTCTCTCTCTCTCTCTCTCTCTCTCTCTCTCTCTCCCTCTCTCTCTCTCTCTCTCTCTGGCTCAGAAGAAAATAAAATAAATAAATAAACATTTTTAAAAGAATAATGTGTCATATCTCTCTAATTGAGGATTTGTTTTATAAATGGATATGGTATTTAGCCTTTTTGGGGGGGGGACAGGCAGAGTGGACAGTGAGAGAGAGAGACAGAGAGAAAGGTCTTCCTTTGGCATTGGTTCACCCTCCAATGGCCGCCGTGGCTGGCACACTGCAGCCAGCACACCATGCTGATCTGAAGGCAGGAGCCAGGTGCTTCTCCTGGTCTCCCATGGAGTGCAGGGCCCAAGCACTTGGGCCATCCTCCACTGCACTCCCTGGCCACAGCAGAGAGCTGGCCTGGAAGAGGGGCAACCGGGACAAAATCTGGCACCCCGACCAGGACTAGAACCCGGTGTGCCGGCGCCGCAAGGCGGAGGATTAGCCTAGTGAGCCACGGCGCCGGCAATGGATATGGTATTAACAACATTTAGTTGCTGTGTTTTTTAAAAATCATGATCTAGTACCGCTCTGTTTCTTCTTATCTGGATAGATCATCCTTAGTGCCTGTGGTATCCTATTGGGAATCCCATCAATGATGGGATAGGCTATTCCCAACTCTTCATTAATCAATTCATTTGTTGATGCCTCAAATTGAGCAGCTTCTTGGACAGGAGGCACACCATGAACTACAGCAGCACCTAGTTGAAGGCACTGGGTGGCTACCCCACCCTTTCACTCCCAACTGCCAAGGGCCACAACTTTGTCACATGCAGGCACCTACAGATGCCCACAGCACTGAGGCTAGCCTTCCAACCACTTCCCAGTGTGCCCCTGGCCAGCTGCATGGTGGCCCCACTAGCCTGTCACTGTGATCTCTTAACACAGTCAGAATTCCATTGTTCCTTTCTTGTGGGGAAGGTTAGTTCTAGGTATATAAGAAAAACTTTTATAGTATATTTGCAATTACAACATTAACACAGATGGAATATATTTCCATTGTGTTTTTCTTACTGTCAGCATACAGAGCACAAAATAGGCTTCATCTTACATTAGAGACACGTAAAACACACTGAGAGAATGGATTCCCTATTTACCTGTTTTGTGACCCAGAGCTGAAATGCTGAAGACAAATGCTCTGTAAAAGATATTGGTGTCATAAGACCAGACTGTTATGTCCACCCAATGTGAGTAACAGCATCTGGACAATTCTCAGAGGACCCTGTACAGGGATGTGATGCTGGAGATCTACAGCAGCCTGCCATGCTGGGGTGAGTGACACTCCCCAGTCACACCCAAATCTACCTATTTCATCTCATTTGATAAGCAAGTAGCTACCTTATAAGGTGTAATTCTGTTTAGGTATAGGATTTGAGTCCATGAAGGATGTGAGTATCCACATTCTCCAGCAAAGGATTTAAACTGGCCCTTCTGTTGCACAACTCCTGAACCCAAGCCATTGTCTTTCAAAGAACTTGACTTAATGATGACAAATTCCTTCTTCCTTCCTTCCCCTCTTCCCCTCTCTCTCTTACCCCTCCCCCTTTTCTTGCTTTCTTTGAAAGGAACAGTTAGAGAGCTCTCCCATCTGCTGGTTCACTCTCCAAATGACCACAACAGCTGGGTGTGGGCCAGACTGAATCCAGGCACCTGGGAATCCATCTGGGTCTCCCTGACATGGGTAGCAGGGTCCCAAATATTGGAGCCAACTTCTGTTTTCCCAGGTGCATTAGCAGAGAGCTGGATTGGAAGTGGATCAGCCAGGACCCGCTGCACACAGAGATTTAACCTGCTGGACCACAATGCCAGCATGAAGTACAACTAGACTAGATTGTGTTTGAAGAACTGCCTGCTGCAGTTGTTTCTCCTCAACCCTTTCCTAATTATAATCAGTGAGATCTCCAGGGCACCCCCACCCCCAAATGACCATATAAATACTCTCAGCTTTTCCAAACCTCCAGACCGAGTGCAGGCGGGGAGTGTTTTTGTGTTTGCCCACATATATAAATACCCTCTTTTCAGTTGAGTTTCTGAAGAGGATAAATGTTTCCCCTCCTCCCTCGGTGCACTTGTCTGTCTCCCAGCACTCCCCACAGTGCGGCAGAAATTGTAATATTCAAAGAGACCAGAACTGCCTGGCTCTAGACTGCTACACATGAAACAGGAGACTAGGAATACAGAGTGGGACTGAAAGAGCCCTTAGGGGGGATGAAGTGGAGTAGAGAGCTGGAATTCCAACCAGGGAAGAGACGCAATTCAGGGGTAGGCTAGGAAGAGAAAGAGGGGTGAGGAGTAAGTTGTTAAAGTATTTGCAAAGTCAAAAACCCAAGGGGCTTAGCAAGATGGGGAGGAACAAGTACGTAAGGGCTAAGTTGGAAAGAGGTGAGGGACCACCAGAGTCTGCAAGTGATTACGGGGTAAGTTTAGGGGACCCAGAGGGTGTGACCTTCAAACAGTGGCCTGAGCCCCAGACTAAAGGTAGGGGTAGCAGGGAAGTGTAGGGGGCGGGGCATCCCTGGTAGAGACTGAACGGGCTCCCAGAATCTGCAGCGAGTGGAAAGAGAAAGGGGGCAGAAGGCAAGGGGTTCAGCAGCGGGGGAAGCCCTGGAAAGATGCTGGGGTGGCTGAGGGTTGGGACGGGGATGGTGGTGGGGGGGGCTCCTGGAGAGCACACGAGTCGTGCAGCAGGAGCCCTTGTCCACGGGACGGACCTGTATCGGCCGTCCGGGTCGCGGGCGGGAATCCCGGAACCGTGGCCGCATAGCCACTTCTCCTGCACCCGGGGGACCTTGGGGCGGGCTCCACCGCGCCTCCCTGAGGGACTGGAAGGAGGAGGACTGGCGGGAGAAACGACCCGTTGACTGACAGCAGGTAGTATCGCCTAGGAGCCTGCAACCTGAGCCGCCGGCTGTCCCGCGCAGGTGCCGAACGGCACCGTCCCGGGAACTTGGAAGAGAGAAGTGAAGCAAGCGCGCCGGGTTTGCCGGCCTCTCCGCCCAGGCGCAGCAGAACAGGCGAAAAGCGCGCGGCGGCGGTCCAGTGGCCGCAGGAGCCTGGCGTTAAGGATTCTTTTCCCTCCTAACAGCTTCCTGCGTTAGCAGCCGTGAGGTGGTCTCCAAGTTGGAGCCAGGAATAAAGCTGTGGTGGTGGAAGAAGCCCTCAGCCTGAGCCTCTCAGGTCCGTCAGCGCCTTCTAAGTCGGAGGCTGGGACTAGGAGGAGTCAGCGGGTGTGCTGCGCGCTTCTCCCGGTTCCTCCTGCGCTCCCGGTCTTGAGGAGAGTTAGTTCAGGCATCTGCAGTCTCCATGGTAGGCCCTCCTGTGTGCATCCATCCTCCTTGTGTTCTGTTGTCACTGACTGTGCCAGCGTTTTATTTTTTGTCTACACTTTGTTGAAATGGGTTACTCCCGTTAGTCCTGGAATCCTGGTCAGAGTCTGACCTCTATTTCCTTCTCTGACCCTGTTGGATACCCTTGTACATAAAGACAGTCGTGTCTGGTGCTATAATAGTTTTACTTGGATTTTAGTCGTTTTATTGTCATTATCCCCCTTCATGTTGATCCTCAGTTTCATTCAAAGTTGCTGTGAAATTCTGTTTCCCAACCACAAGGTCCTCTCTGACTTCTGATTGGATTTGCTTTTAGCTTAGATCTCAGCAGATCCCCAGTCAGGACGGACACTTCACCCAGGTCTTCCCAGGTGACCAGGCTACATGCTGATGGGTGCTCTAGCTGTAGTCACGCCTTTCTTGTTGTGCATGCTGAGGACAGTCCTGCAAATCACCCTCCCACCTCCACTGCTGCCCTTTGGGAAAAGCACATTAGCCCTAGTCATGGCCTTTGAGGATCCCCCAAATTCAGTCATGAGATGCAGACCTGCAATACAAGAATAAACAGATTTAAAGGGAAATAAATGCTTATTTGTGTTTTGTAAAAAATTAAACAAAGGCGAGATAGCTATTCTTTCCTCAGAATTGACTTAAAGATAATTTTTTTAGAGACTGAGAAAAATCAGTTGTTTTAAGAAATTTAATTAAGTGTATTTAAAAGCTATACTTTTTTGTATATTTCTGTCAACTAACATATATAAAGTGAAAACTAGTGTAAGGGGGCTGGCAGATCGTAGTAGGAGACATAGTCACCTCTCTCCATGGGTTTATAGATGGAGTACAGCAAGGAAACAGGGGTAAGAAACAAAAAGAAGAAAACAAAAGTAGGACCTGGACATGGAAGCTTTAGTTATTCAAACTGGATGCCCCAAATATTGATGCTCATTTTTTAATTTTTCACCAAGCTGGGAAGATATGATCCCAAAGCACTGGTCCTGTCCTGCAACTGCTTTGTATCAGACAAGCGTCTTGCAGAGTATCTCTGCTCCCCAGAGTATCTTTCAGGCAGTTGGGAGACCCAGGCTCTGAGAGGGATCAGGAGTGGGTTGAACTGGGGAGGTATATATTTGGACAGAGCTGAAGCCAGGTTTACTTGGGAAGGTAGTGACTTCAGGGCCTTCTTCCTGAGCCTGCATGTCTCAAAAATGAGGTCAAGGGGTAGAGGGAAGGAGTGACTGGGAATGATGGGACTCACTGTGAGTGCAGCATGGATTATGGATGAGGCTGCACACATTCTGTCCACACTGTGCGTCTGATCTGTCTCCTGAGGTGGAGCAGTTTCAGTACCTGGTCACCTGGTTCAGGAACCACCAATGGCAGTGGGCAGGACCTCATTTGCTTTTGCTTTCTGAGATGTGTGCAGCTGCTCCTGTGACTGGACTAGGGTTCTGATTTCTCTGCCTTTCTTGACCACCACTCATACCGTGTTCATCAAGATCCTTGCATATCCCCTGGTCTCCAGATGAGACATGGGGATCATTTTCCTGATGAAGAAATTCTGTATTTATCAGTGAGTAGCATAGTTCTCTCTTTTACCAGGGTTGCAGATATACTGTTAGTATCCAGGAGATCCAAACATGCTCAAGCTGCTTACGTGTGAACTTGGCTTACACACTATACATTTCTTGACACTGCAAGCTAAGCAAGCCTGCCAGGCATTGGGTGGACAGAAGCAGGTGGGTTGTGAATCTTGCATGGCCTGTCCCAGAGGAATCAGCAGAATGCAAAAGTGAGACAGGAATGAGTAGAGCAAATTGGGGTCAAGGAGAGATCCTGTACGGTATGGCTGGGTGCAGAGATAGCAGGATCTTGCTGGGCAGAAAGATCTCACAATGTGCCATCATCCCTAGCCCCTGGTTCCCTACCTGCAAGTAGCCACTGCTGCACCGTCGTTTCTTTGTCTTTTTCCACTCTACTCTCTCTATATCTTTTTCCTCTTTGGTTTGGCTTTAGCTTTTTCCAATTTTTCTAATTTCTTAAGGTAGAAGGGTAGTTTACTGATATCAGATATTGTTTTTAAAATATCCCCCATTCACTGGTTTACTCCCTAGATGCCCACAACAGCCAGAGCCAGACCAGGGTGAGGCCTAGATCCTGAAACTCCATTCCTGTCTCTCTCATGCACGGAAGAGACTCAGGTACGTGATCCATCACTTGTGTGCACATTTTCAGGAAGCTGGAATATTGGGCAGAACCAACGCTCAAATCCAGGACATGGACATTTAAAGGGGCATTTTAACCACTAGGGCAAATGTGCGCCCCTAATTTTCTCTTGTGATCCTTCATAATCAGAAAATACCTTCTGTGAGTTCAGTCCTTTTAACATTTATTTAGTCTGTTTTATGACTTAGTGAATCTTATATGCATTTTGGCTTTTCAGAGTTCAGATATAAACAAGATAATATATTTGCCTTTCTGTGCCTGACTTGTGTCACATAATATAATGTGCTCTATTCATGTATCTTGTCATGTGACAGAATTTTCTTCTTTTTCAATCTGAGTAGAATACATTTTAAGTCCATTCATGTGTTGGTGAACATATTCATGGATTTTATTTCTTATGTACTCTACATGGGAGTACAGCTATATCTTAAATATAATGGTTTCATGTTCAAATATATACTTAGTTTTGGAATTAATAAATCCAATGCAAGTTCTATGTTATGTTTTTAGAGGAAACTTCATACTGCTTTCTAAGCTATCTGATTTAATTTACATTTCCAGAGACTATTGTACTTATGAACACTTAACTATTTTGCGTCTTTTTGATAGTAGCTATTCCATCAGGTGAAAGGTGATACATTATTTTTGTTTTATTTGTGTCTCATCATTAATAATATCAAAGATGTTTTCATATGTTGACCATTTATATATCTTCTATTGAGAAATGTCTATTTGGGTCCTTTTCCTATTTTAATAAAGATATTTGAGTTATTTTGAGTACTTAGATTCCCTTATACATATTTGTTGTTAGCCTCTTTCTAATGTGTGGCTTTTCTCTTCACTTTGTCATTTATCTTGCTGTATAAATATTTTTTAATTTCCTATAATCCCAGTATTCTGTGTTTCTTTTAATGCCTGGCTTTTGGCATTACATCCAATAAATCATTTTCTGGACTGATGTCTTGAGACTTTTTCCTGTTCTGTTAGTACTTTTCTAGTTTTAAATTTTATGTTTGAGCATGAAATCTATTTTTTAGTGATTTCATATAAATATTTAGATGTAGCCAATTTATTTTGCATGTGGATGGCACATTATTTTCAGCAGGATTTGTTGAAGAGACTACTATTACTACATTTTATGTTTACTACATTTGTGTACCTTATTTGAAAATCAGTTAATTGTCAATTTTTAGGTTTATGTCTGGGCTTTCCGTCCTAGTCCATCAGTCAATGTTTCTGTTTTTGTGCCAGTACCATGCTGTAGCTTTGTAATACATCTAGCTTTGGTGTTTTTGCTAAAGATTGTTTTGGTGATTCTTAATCTTTCCTATTTATACAAATTTTAATATTGCTTTCTGTTTCTGTGAAGAATGACATTAAAATTTTGATTGGGATTGCATTAAATATCTACATTGTTTTGTGTGGGTAGGAAGGACATTTTAACAGTATTATTTTTCTGATCTATGAACATGGACTAGCTTTCCATTGTTTCTGCTGTCTTCAATTTCCTTTATTCATATGTCACACTTTTGAGTATGCAGATCGTTCTCCTTATTGGTTAATTCAATCATAAGTAGTTTTATTTTTATGATGTTTAAATGAGGGCTTTATTTTAACTTTTTTGATTTATTTATTTATTTATTTGAAAGGCAGAGTTACAGAGAGGCAGAGGCAGAGAGAGAGAAGTCTTCCATCCACTGGTTCACTCCCAAAATGGCTGTGGTGGCCAGAGCTGGGCTGATCTGAAGCCAGGAGCCAGGAGCTTCTTCCAGGTATCTCAAGTGGGTGCAGGGACCCAGGGTCCTGTGCCATCTTCTACTGCTTTCCCAGTCCATAGCAGAGAGCTGGATTGGAAGTTGAGCATTCGGGACTGGAACTATTGCCCATGTGGGATGCTGGCACTGCAGTCAGCAGCTTTCCCCCTATACCACAGTGTGGCCCCCCACAATGTATTTTTAATTACTTCTTTAATCTCTGTCATTTCCTTTTCTTGCTGATTTTCTTATTTAGTGTTTTTCCTAATTTGTTGAGCTATAACATTAGATAATTAAATTGTTTATTTGATATCTTCTTTTTTGTTGTGGTGATATTGTACTTCATTTTGCTACATCCTATTAGCTTTGTATGCTGTTTCCTTATTTTCTTCAAGGTATTTTTAGCTTCCCTTTTTAGTTTTTCTTTGTTCCTGTAGTTATTTAGGGTTGTATATGGCTTAGTTCCTACATATTTGTCTATTTTCTAATTCACCTATTATTAATTTCTATTTTCAGACCACTAGGGTGTGAAATTATACTTGATATGATTTTAATCTTAAATTTGTTGACATTATTTTTGTGGCTTAATGTATGACCACATATATTGTATGTGTACTTTGGATGACTTTTGATTTTATTGTATTGTTCTTAGACAAAATATGTTTTTTTTGTTTGTTCTTTTTCTAGATTTTATTTATCCCAAAAGTTACCTTTAGCAAGGTCAGAAGTACTTGTCCTTGGGAGCTTCCAGTTTTTTTTTTTTTTTTTAACTTTTTTTTAATGAATATACGTTTCCAAAGTATGAATAATGGATTACTATGGCTTCCCCCCCATACCGTCCCTCCCACCCACAACCCTCCCCTTTCCCACTCCCTCTCCCCTTCCATTCACATCAAGATTCATTTTCGATTATCTTAATATACAGAAGATCAGCTTAGTATACATTAAGTAAGGATTTCAACAGTTTGCTCCCACACAGAAACATAAAGTGAAAAATAATAGATGATTTTTTTTAATGATGATGAAATCAGATCAGACCTATTGTCATGTTTAATCCCAGTGAGAGTCAAGTTGGGAGTTGATAGTTTCTTTTCTTTTCTTTTCTTTTCTTTTCTTTTCTTTTCTTTTCTTTTCTTTTCTTTTCTTTTCTTTTCTTTTCTTTCTTTTTTTTTTTTACAGAGGATCAGTTTAGTATGCATTAAGTAAAGATTTCAACAGTTTGCACCCCCATAGAAACACAAAGTGAAATATATTATTTGAGTACTTGTTATAGCATTAAATCTCAATGCACAGCACATTAAGGACAGAGATCCTACATGAGGAGTAAGTGCACAGTGACTCCTGTTGTTGACTTTACCAATTGACACTCCTGTTTATGGCATCAGTAGGGAGCTTCCAGTTTTATCATGAGGTCTTTGACTAATAAATCTTGCTTTTAAATCTCAAAAAAATCGGGCCGGCGCCGCGGCTCACTAGGCTAATCCTCTGCCTAGCGGCGCCGGCACACCAGGTTCTAGTCCCGGTCGGGGCGCTGGATTCTGTCCCGGTTGCCCCTCTTCCAGGCCAGCCCTCTGCTGTGGCCAGGGAGTGCAGTGGAGGATGGCCCAGGTGCTTGGGCCCTGCACCCCATGGGAGATCAGGAAAAGCACCTGGCTCCTGGCTCCTGCCATCGGATCAGCGCGGTGCGCCGGCCACAGCGCGCCGGCCACGGCGGCCATTGGAGGGTGAACCAACGGCAAAGGAAGACCTTTCTCTCTGTCTCTCTCTCTCTCACTGTCCACTCTGCCTGTCAAAAAAAAAAATCTCAAAAAAATTATTTTTTATTTATTTATTTGGGAGGCAGAGCTACAGAAAGGGAAAGACAGAGAGAAAAGTCTTCCATCTGCTGGTCCACTCCCCAAGTGGCTGCAATGGCCGGAGCTGAGACAATCTTCAGCCCAGAACCAGGAGCTTCTACCAGGTCACCCTCACGGATTCAGGGGCCCAAGCACTTGGGCCATCCTCCACTGCTTTCCCAGGCCATAGCAGAGAGTTGGATCAGAAGAGGAGCAGCCAGGACTAGAACTGGCACCCACATGGGATGCCTGCATCATAGGCAGAGTCTCAGCTCACACCATAGCACCAGCCCCCAGAATGTTTTGTATATGTCTGGTAGGACCATTTGTTCCTAATGCATAATTCAGTCCCAATGTTTTCTTGTTGATTTTCAATCTAGATGATCTATTGTTGAAAATGGGGATTTGAAATCCCTGCCTTTATTGTGTAAGTCTGTTTTCCTTTAAATTTCTTATATGTATTCCTGTGTTTTAGAGACAGAGAGATATTCTGAGTTTAGGTGTGTGTACAATTTTATATCCACTTGATGAACTGATACTTTTATCACTATACAGTGACCTTTGTCTCTTTGTTACAACTTTGGCCTAAAGTCTGATTTAGTTGATCTGACTTATAGTTACCTCTGATTATTGTTGCTTTTCATTTATATTGATTATCTCTTTCCATCCCTTCACTTCCAATCTATAAATGCCCTTTAAAGTAAATGAGCCTCTTGTAGCCTCTATATAGTCATATCTTTATCTTTTTTTTTTGTTCTCCATCCATTGTTTGCCTTTTATTTAGAGAATTCATTTACATTCAAAATAATTATTAAGAGGTGAGGATTCATTACTATTTTATTAATACTGTTGTTTTATAAATTCATCTTTTTTTCATCTCTAACCAATATCCTTTGTGACTTGATGATTTTCTATAGTGACATACTTTGAATCTTTTAAAAAATCTTTTTATTATCTCTATTTCAAAAAGTTAATGAAATTAGAATTAAAATATAAGTTGATTTTGGTGAAAAATATTTTGAAATTGCACATTTTCCTGAACTTTTAAGAGATTCCCTCATGATATAGTTGTTTGCCTAGTGGTTTTCCTAATTCTTCTATTTAAAAAAAAAAAAAAAACTCTAGGTTGAGAGCCTTAATTCTGATATCATTCACAGACTATCCTTTTACTCCCCCTCCTCCTACATTTTATGTTGGAATGTCACATTTTCACCTTATACTTTGTATCATTTAGGAAATGTTGCAGCTATAGTTATTTTTCATTTATTTATTTATTTATTTTATTTAAGAAGTAGAGATACAGATGGAGAGAGGTAGAGAAAGAAAGAAAGGTCTTCTGTGCACTGGTTCTCTCCCCAAATAGCCACAACAGCTGGAGCTGGGGTGATCTGAAGCCAGGAGCCAGGAGCCAGGAGCTTCTTCCAGATATCTCATGCAGGTGCAGGGGCCCAAGCACTTCAGCCATTTTCTACTGCCTTCCCAGGCCATAGCAGAGAGCTGAATCAGAAGCAGACTAGCTGAGACATGATCCTGAGACAAGAACTGGTGCTGACCTGGGATGCCAGCGCCACAAGTAGAGGCTTAGCCCAGTATGCCATAGCTTCAGCCCCTATAGAGTGGCTTTTAACCTTTTACTAGTGATATAATTTATCAGTCCTCCATAATTAGAATATTAGAGGTTTGAATCTGATACTGTATGCACACTGGCTGATGAGCTTTGTATTTTCACATGATTTCTTTTTTTTTATTTATTTTTATTTTGACAAGTAGAGCTATAGACAGTGAGAGAGAGAGACAAAGGTCTTCCTTCTGTTGTTCACTCTCCAAATGGCCACTATGGCTGGCACTGCACTGGCCTGAAGCCAGGAGCCAGGTGCCTCCTCCTGGTCTCATGTGGGTGCAGGGCCCAAGCACTTGGGCCAGTCCTCCACTGCCTTCCCAGGCCACAGCAGAGAGCTGGACTGGAAGAGGAGCAACCAAGGCTAGAACCCAGCACCCATATGGGATGCTGGCACTGCAGGCGGAGGATTAACCAAGTGAGCCACAATGCTGGCCCCTCACATGATTTCTTTATACTAGTTAGTATCCTCTTCCTTCCCCTTGAAGAATTTCCTTTAGCAGTTTTTCCAGTGAATGGCGATAAACACCTTTACCTTTTTTTTTTTTAATAAAGTTTCTTTATGTTCCATTTTTGAAATACAGGATCACTGAAAATAATACATTGATTCACATTTTCTTGTTTACTTCTTTCAGGACTTTGAATAAACCATACCACTCCCTCTGGACTGCAAAATTTCTGCTGAAAAATATATTGACAGTCTTACTACAGTTCCATTGCACATAGTGAGTTGTCTTTCCAACACTACTCTCCAAAGTCTGTTTATGTCTTTAAGTGAAGAGCCAATTTTTCAAACCTTCCTTTTAATGTAAAATGTAAAAATGTGCATTTCCTTCCCTGACCCTCTGTCCTCCACCCTTCTTTCTTTACACTTAACCCAAAATGAACCCATTTCCTTTCTTCAAAAGTTTTAGAGTAGGAATCTTGCATCTCCTGTGCTCATGCCACAGCCCTGTGCTCCTGCCCCAGGCCCTGACTTGCTCTGACACACACAGCAGCAGGCAGGGATGGTGCTGTGCCTCTTGTCCACTGCATATGCTGAAAGTTACTCCCTGTCTGAAATTCTCCTAGGTAAGGTACCCTGCACTGGTTTCTTCATGCTGGATTCATCCCAAGGGTTAGGGAGGTGGGGGTGATATTGAGGCCTGAATTTCTGAGGGATCCCTCCTTCTTTAGGGCAGTCTCTTCCTAAGGAGACATGTCTGGGGCAGGGTGGGGAGGCAGGAAGCACAATAGGAAAGGGGTAGATGGAATGTTTGAGAAAGGTGTTGAAAGTACACCTGCAGTTTGGGGAAGTTCCATACGGATATACTTGCTGGCCAAGGATGGTAACTGCCCTTTGGAGAGCTCAGATACAGTGCATGGGACAGAGCTAGGATATCCTTGGTGACCCTGGTATTCTAGCATACATGCTATCCAGTCACTCCCTGGCATTGAATATGGGGATTGGCATACCAGTGTCATGCCCCTAGAGGGCAGAATCTCATTGTTTAGCAGCCTTCTCTCCAAAATTTACACATTCCTTTCCAGGGTGAGTCTTTGTCACAGTCTTCCTTGTGTCAAGGTCCCCCTCTTCTCCTGGCATTCCCCTTTCATTCTCCCCCCTCTTGGTGAAAAGTGACTTTCACTTGTGTCCTTCCCATGACGATAATTAAGATGGTTATTGTGCAAGGCTAAGTCAGTTGTGTAGACATGTGGATGGCACCTGCCCCTTTCTTAATGAATAGAGCTCACCTCCACATGCCAAGGCTGCTGTGACAGTGTTGGTATGTGTTAAACAGAACCCTCCAGCTTGCATCCCCTGTTCCCAGCCCTTACACCATTGTCACCATTTTGTGTTTTTACATTTCCATCAGAACCTAGAACTTTTGCTTTCATTTTGAAAGGGAAATGAGTTTGTTGAGAAGGCTGAGAACACAAGTATCACATAACAATTTAGCTCAGTTTCTCCTATACTTTCAGGTGCAATGGAGAAGTCATTTGGGACATAGACTCCTAGGAGTACTTTCTCATCTGGCCTTGTACTAGGCATGCACTTTGTCATCTTTTTCCCTTACATGTCTGTTCCTCCTTAATCTGTCCTCAAAACCTATGGCAACTTCATTATGGTGCATGATGTGTTAGAGTAAATGTCCCTTTGTCTATAGCACAGTCTGTAGCACAGGAATGCCCCTGGCCAGAATGTCCTCACTGTAGGCATATTACAGCCTTATTGGTGAGAATGCACATGTTCTTGTTAGAATGTGACAAAGAGTAGACATCCTCAGACATCAAGTAACAGCACTGGAAACAGCAATCTAAAGTCACTTGAAGTCATACTTAGTGGTCCATCCTGCTTTACCTGCCCTTATGTGGGTCTTTTTGAGGTGACGCCACTTATCTCTTACCACTTATCTCCAGATACTTTTGAGGTCTCAGAATCAAGAGATGTATTCTTCAGGTTTTCTGTTGTTGCTAGGGCTTGAGACACAGCACCCCTAAAGTGACAGTAGGAAACCAGAATACACTGCCCCAACATTCACTGCTCTTCGCTATTATGTGCTGGTTATTCTGGGAAACTGCAAGCACCAAGGAACTGTGAAGTGTGCTTTGTTAATAGAAGTTTCCATCTATAAAAAATATTAGAATTATTATCCTGTTATTCTAATAGCAGACTAGTATTAGTAGTATTCTAACAAACATTTCAGGAAGAAGGGGGCTCTGGACAAGCATTACTACTAAAGAGGGTTTTTATCCATTTTGAGCTTTTAGCTGCTGACACATTAGATTGTGAGTCAGTTCTGTGTCCTTTCCAATCAGATTTCATTAGAATTACATACTTTAGTGCAGTAAGAGATTCCTTTTATATATTGCTCACAGATGCTACATTCTTTTTTATAATATATGTTATAAAAACAAAGGCAGGCTATACTTGTATATGTGGACTAAACATATGGAAATGTTACCCACAAAATGTGGCTCTTATAGTCTGCAGCTTTGTAATGTAGAATTCTCAGGGGCTCCTGTATGGCAAAGACTTTAGCTTGGGAGGTATAGTATAAGACTCAAATTCTAGGCCGGCACTGTGGCTCACTAGGCCAGTCCTCCACCTGAGGTGCCGGCACTCTGGGTTCTAGTCCTGGTTGGTGTGCAGTTTTGTCCCAGTTGCTCCTCTTCCAGTCCAGCTCTCTGCTGTGGCCTGGGAAGGCAGTGAAGGATGGCCCAAGTGCTTGGGCCCTGCGCCTGCATGGGAGACCAGGAGGAAGCACCTGGTTCCTGGCTTTGGATCAGCGCAGTGCGCCAGCCATAGCGGCATTTGGGGGGTGAACCAATGGAAGGAAGACCTTTCTCTCTCTCTCTCTCTCTCTCACTGTCTAACTCTGCCTGTCCCCTCCCCCCCCCCAAAAAAAAGATTTTGTGCTTAACTTCTTGGAGGAGGTCTACTATGGGCCTGTGTTTCAAAAGTCAAAGTATATCATGCAGAATTCAATGGCTATGCTTTGAATTAGCCTCTAGCACTTCACTTTAGCCATGGACACACTCATTGTGTTTCCTTTAGAAGGAAGGTAAATATCAAGACTTTACTGCTTGCAAAGTTTTGTCTTACCCTATTAATGTTCGTGGTGATTTATGGAGTGATTCTGCAGAAAGTTCTATGAGTGTTTATAGGGAATGAGTTGTGTAGTTTTATATGTACACATACACACATTCAGAACATTCCTTCAGCTCTTTTTCTCATGACTCAAGACTACTACAGTTAAATGATCTGATTATGGACTCAGTCAATAAATGTAACTCATTTTTACTGGATGCTGTTTTGATGTCATAGCCATGATTTTCTATTAATTTTAATTTTCCCATTCTACTGTACTTTTCTGTTTGATCAAGAATAAGCCTAATGACTGAAAGGATATACTGGATTTGGAGACTCGACCAGGACAGCACTGTGATCATCTCGGATTGTGAGGCAGCTACATGTAGCCTGTGAGCAGTGCATGATGAGAAAGATGTGGAGGCACCCTGTGGTGAGCTCCTTGTATGTATGTCAGTGTCTGCTACTTTAGATCCACTCATGTGTGAGCTCTGCTGAAAGGGAAGTACTCTGTAGTCAACTGGAACTCATTCAGCCAAAACCTTGATTTTGCATCCCTACTACCTATTGACTGGACTTCCATGTGCATATTTTGAGCTTAATTATACCTCTATTATCTCATTTCAGATAGTGAAAACTAGATAAAGAGAGTATAGATTATTATCAATGATCATTGTTACTAAGCAGCCAAATATGATTTAAACTAAGATCTGAGGCAGGTGTTTGGCCTGGTGGTTAAGATGGTACCTGGGACACCTAAATCCCATGCTAGAGTGTCTAAGTTTGCATCTTACTTCACTCCAAATTCCAGCTTTCTGCTGATGCACAGCTGTCATTGATTTCTCACCACCCCATTTGGAGACCTGAATTGAGTTCATGGCTCTGAGATACAGCCTGGTCCATCCCTGGCCATTATAGTCATTTGAAGAGTGAACCACCCAATGGGATTCCCTCCCTTGCTCTATCTGAAGCTCTCTGTCCCTCAAGTAGATTAATATAATTTTAAAAATACAAAAATTAAGGTCTGTTTAGCTTTCTAAAAATATGTATTTATTTATTTTTAAGTCAGTTACACAGAGAGAGTGAGACACAGAGATCTTCTATCCACTGGTTCATTCACCACATAGTCACAATGGCTAGAGCTGGGCCAGTCCAAAGCATGGAGCCAGGAGCTTCTTTCAAGTTTCCCATGTGGGTGCTTGGGCTGCCCTCTACTGCACTCTGAGGTACGTTAGCAGGGAGCTGGATCAGAAGTGGGGCAGGTGGCAGCTTAACCTGCTATGCCACAATGCCATCTGTTTAATTTTTAAACTTGAGTTGTTTGGGGACCATAGGTAAGTCTTAAAAGTACCCAAAGTGTTAATTTTAAAAAGCTGTGGATGTAGTTGAAAAGCTGGAAATTAGAAGACTAAGCACATTGATCTATATAAGATCAGCAGCTGCAAAGGATGATAGGCTGAATGAACCATCAACTTCTCTTGACTCTTGTTAAATTTTTTAGCTGGAGGGGTCTGTGCTGTGGCACAGTGGGTTAATGCCCTGGCCTGAAGTGCCAGCATCCCATATGGGTGCTGGTTCGAGACCCGGCTGTTCCACCTCCAATCCAGCTCTCTGCTATGGCCTGGGAAAGCAGTAGAAGATGGCCCAAGTCTTTGGGCCCCTGCACCTGTGTAGGAGACCTGGAAGAAGCTCCTATCTCCTGGCTTGGGATTGGCACAGCTCTGGCCATTGTGGCCAACTGGGGGAATGAACCATCAGATGGAAGATCTCTCTCTCTCTCTCTCTCTCTCTCTCTCTCTCTCTCTCTCTCTGCATTTCTCTCTGCCTCTTCTGTGTAACTCTGACTTGCAAATAAATAAATCTTAAAAAAAATTTAGCTGGAAAGACAATTGACACCTTTTTTTAAATTTGAGACAGGGAGATAAGAGAAACAGAAACAGAGAAGTCTCCCACCTTCCAGCCCAACTTACATATAAATTTCTGCAGTGCACAGGCCAAGGACAGGAAACACAGTTCTTCTCTTCCATGTAAGTGGCAGAGACAGAATTAAATGAGTCCTAACTTGGTGTCTCCTGGGATGCACAGTAGCAGGAAGCTGGAGGTGGGAGCCAAGCCAGGATTTGAACCTAGGTAGCTAATATGGGACAAGGGCATCTTAAACCTATATCTTAATCACTAGAGCAATCACTAGATCAAATGCTCAAACTAGATCCACAATCTCAGGAGGCCAGAAGTATCATTTATGGTTTATATTCTTATGACAGTGAAGAGAATCAGGATGCAGGGAACTGTAAAATCCAAAAATAACAAGGATGATCTCTGTAGTGAGATGTCAGAGTCATATTGTAAATCCTGTACCAGAGAGAACCAAATCACTCCTCCCTCTGTAACTCTGGAGGCCTCTTAGTCAATGTCAGTTTCTCCCAATGGGAGCTTCTAGTCAGGTTTGCTCTTGCCCATATTATCCAACAGCTCAGTGATCCTGCTAAAGTGCTTTGTTGTGGGACATTCTCTTTGATACTTCCCTCTCTGAATTAAAAAATGACAAGGCAATGGACGCCTTATGTATTACTCCTTTACAAAGAGACCTGAGGTGTATAAGGCAGGGGACCTTGATATCAGGCAGTCAGAAAGGCTCATTTACAAATTAGGGATCGATGTAAATATTGAGGTCTATTGGATTTAAAAAAAAAAAGAAAATTTATTTGAATGTCATTTACAGAGAGAGAGAGAGACAGAGAGATCTATACACTGGTTGACTCCCCAGATGGGTGCAATGGCCAGTGGTGAGTCAGGCTGAAGTCAGGAGCAATTCTATTGGGTCTTCTATTGGGTCTTCCACGTGGGTGGCAGGGGCTCAAGCACCTGGGCATCTTCTGCTGCTTTTCCTAGGCCATTAGTAGAGAGCTGGATCAGAAGCGGAGCAGCTGGGACACGAAATGGCACCCATAAGTGATGTCAGCATAGCAGGCAGCAGTGCTATCTGCTACCCCACACCACCAGACCCAAAGATACTGCTTTTGGATGGAGATTCTTCTGGGCATTTTATTCCCTGTCTGCCCCACCCTTTATTCTCTTACACATATGTTCCAGGTAGATTATGTTTAGAAGATAATCCTACTATAATTTATTTCTAGTAAGGATTGTTTATCAAGATTAATAAATGTTAATGGTTTTAAGAACTTTGGATTACATGCAACTGAAAGACCATGTTATAAAGAATTGGGTACTATGTTAAACACTTGGCATGTGCTAAGAATTAATAAAGTAACCTAACATGCAATGATGAAATTAAGAATCCAGCAAAGATAATAAAAGTCTGGGTAAACCTAAAAATGCATGTAGAGGACGGGCATTTGGAATAGCAGTTAAGATGCCAGTTACGATATCTGCTTTCCACATTGGAGGGTCTGAGTTCAGATTCAGACTCTGATTCCTGATTCCAGTTTACAGCCAGTATGGGCCTTGAAAGGCAGCTCAAGAATTTAGGTCCTTGCTGTCCATGTGCGAGATCTGGAATGAGTTCCCAGCACAGAGCTCTGGCCAAATACAGCCCTGACTGTTCCAGCATTTAGTAAGTGAATCAAGAGATGCAGGCTCTTTCTTTTTCTTTCATTCTTCCCACCCCCATCCCTTTGCCTGTCAAACATGCCTGTAGAAATTCATGGTGTAATCAGTCCTTGGATTGATAGAAATTCTCCTGAAGAGATGCTTACATATTGATTTAAAAATGTATAACTGTACTTATATAAATGATCATATTTAAAATTTCCCCTGTATTATCGCTGTAGTTTTACATCATTCAAAATCTTTTTAGCATAGTGATTTTTTTTCAGTGTGAAGCAAAAGTATTCCCAAACTATTCCTTAGGTTTCCATTCACCTCTTTTCAAATGAATCCCAGTCTTCACCTCATTTCTCTTAAAAGTAGCATTTCCAACTAAGGTACAGAAAAGGGACATTTTTCTTAGAATTGCTTATTTTATTTGAGAGGCAGAGGGACAGAAACAGAATGATCTTTCATCACTTGTTCACTCCTCAAATGACCGCAATACCCAGGACTGGACAAAGTAGAAGTTCATCTGGGTCTCCCATGTGGGTAGCAGGTCCCAAACACCTGGGGCATCAACTGATGCTCACCCAGGTGAGTGAGCAGAAAGCTGGATCAGAAGCAAAGCAGGGAATAGTGCTGTGGCATAGTGGATGAAGCTGCTGATTGCGGTGCCGCCATCCTGCATGGGAACTGGTTCAAATCCTAGCTGCTCCTTCCAATCCAGCTTTCTGCTATGGCCTAAGAAGGCAATAGAGGATGGCCCAAGTCCTTGGGCCCCTGTGCCTGTGTGGGAGACCTGGAGGAGACTCCTTGCTCCCAGCTTCAGATCAGCACAGCTCCAGCTGTTGCGGCCATTTGGGGAGTGAACCAGTGGATGGAAGACCTCTCTCTCTCTGCCTCTACCTGTGTCCCCGCCTCTCAAGTAAATAAATAAATATTAAAAAAACTAATCAGGACTTAAACTGGCAGCCAGATATGTAACTGAAGGGTTAAAAAGTTAAAAGCCACTCCCGCTCCCCCTGCCCTCCTCTGGTGAACTTCCTGACCTTGTTAGACTTGCTCTGTATAGCCATTCTCTTTAAAGTTAGTTAGTCAGTGAATTACCCCAATGTAGACGTAACCTTAGTTTCACCTAAGTAAGATAGAAGGAGTCACTGTTTAGAAATTAACAAACCTTCACTAAGAAATCTATTTGCTCCTGGAACTCTGACCCCACCATATGTCCCTTATCGCCATTTGGCTGCATTCCTAGGTACCATCGAGGCAGTTCTTGTAACCTTGTTGTGTGGCCCTCCCTTTTGGTAATAGGAGGCTTTTTGATCCTCCCTGTATAGGCCATATGGTTCTCTGATGTCTAATCAAGCCCTTACTCGATGTCCTGTACTCCCTGTATTCATAAATCAACTGATTGTAAAATCACTTAACTTGTATCAATTGTTTACTCTGCACCGACTGTTTGATCTATGCAATGATTGATTTTCTTTGTTTAAATGTGTATAAAAACCCCAACTCTCTACTTCTTGGGGCTGCCTGTTCTCTTATGCTCAGGGGCCCCAACATGTTGGATCATCAATAAACCTTACCCTTTGCTAATTGCATGAGAGAAAGCCTCTTGGAGTCGTTCTTGGGGTGGTGGACGCTTTTTCAACTCTAACATAACCTGCTGTACCACAGTGCCAGCCTAAAAGTAAAGTCTTGAAATGAGTCACTCATAGTTGTTCTACATTAGTATAGGCACTATGGCTTAACAGGTGGGGCCACCGCCTGTGGTGCCGGCATCTCATATGGGCACTGGTTCAAGACCTGGCTACTCCACTTCTGATCCAGCTATGGCCTGAGAAAGTGGTAGAAGGTGGCCCAAATTCTTGGGCCCTTGCACCCACATGGGAGACCCAGAGGAAACTCCTGGCTCCTGGCTTCGGATCGGCTCAGCTCCAGCTGTTGTGGCCAATTGGGGAGTAAACCAGTGGGTGGAGGACCTCTCTCTCTCTCTCTCTCTCTGCCTGTCCTTCTCTCTGTGTAACTCTGACTTTCAAGTAAAATAAATCTTTAAAAAAAAGTTCTGTTCACAGGCATTTGTGTGTGTATATGTATATATACATATATATTTTATATATTCATTTATATATTTATATATACATATAAATGTATACCAAAATGGATTATATATTAAAAATAAAACATTTGGAAAGGGACTATTTTAAATCAAAGTCGTAGTATAATAAATTTGTGTCCTTATTACATAAATATTTGTATGTGGTTTATAATTCTTGATAAGTTAAAAAGACTTCAAGGATTTAGAAAGAATAATGTTTAATAATGTGTGATTGATATAATTACTGAACATTGATGGTAGTAAAGTTAGATATAAATTTCAGATTTTTTTCCAGTGTCATTATTCTGTCTTATTACATTTTATTCGTATTT